TTTAGAGATCTTAATGCACAGAACTATGGTGTCTAGTATGATCTATGTGTAATCTTTTCTGTGAATTAATTTCAGGTTTTTCAGAGAAAAAAAATACAGATTGATTTCTGAGCTTCCATTTATTTAATCATTTCCAATGACATTCATTAGATTCAGATCATAGAGAACTTCATAAATTAGATGCACCTTGTATGGGTCTTACATCAGATAYGGCATTTCAGCAGTCTGGGCATTTGCAGCTGGCCATTTACAGAAGCAAARAGGAGAATTAAACTTCACCATGGTTAGAAATCCATTGGGAAAGCCCCATTCCTTTGAAAAGCAAACAAACAGGGTACCAAATCCTTCTGAGATCTGCAGTCAGTTACAACTGCTCTGTACAAACAGGCCTGCCTGACTGGGGACCCTTGTCCAATTAGCTGGAAAATTAGCTTTGAGCTGGTGCATATGTGTGTGTTAGTAACTCTGTAGCTGAGGCATTTCTGCTGCACTCCTGCCTTTCCGCCCTTCAAAAATCCACCTTTGTATGTTAAAGTATCCAGTATGAATCATTTTACATTATCTACCCTGAATTTCATTTTACCAAGGTGATTTATTTTGCCCACTTCTGTCATTTATCAGAGCGGTATTATAGTCTACTCTTATCCTCTAAAGATGCATAATCCCTCTCAGCTTCATATCAGCTTAATATTAGATTCGTAGGATTCCCCACAGCTGTTAATTGACCTCCTTGGCACCCTATTCAAAACATCTCCCAAGGTAATGATGAAGTATTTCAATTACCTTGTACTTAATATGTAATCGAATTTTACAAGTCTCACACTGATAWGCAGATAGCCTCACTTTCTAGAAAGTGATGTTGCATCCATCTTGAAGTGCTTATACAACCACGTCCTCATAAAAGAGAAGAGTTTGGTATAATTTATTTTTGATAAATCCAAGATGTTTTTAATATACACTCCTTTAGCTACAACACCAACAATTAGGTGCTACATAACCAACTATGTTTCTCAGCTTTACTAAAGCTGATATCTTATGTAATAACAGTTTGCTGCTCCCCAGGTCTTGTCCTCGTCCTTCTGCTGACCTGTGTTCTGCAGAAGTGAGATTACCAGAGTAATCAGTACTCATTAATGGAATAATTAATGGAGTAATCATTACTCCAGTACTGGAGTAATGGAGTAATTACTGGAGTACCAGTAGCTTCCTGCTCTACTGGCATATTTTAGTAAACAGGTGCCCCAATTTCACCAGGTCCTCAAAAATGAATACCAATGACTCTTGAGATAACTCATATTAATTCTTTTATTATTATTTAAAAAAAAAAAAAAAAGTTTTGTGGGGATCTAAGTTCTCAGATATTACCCTAAGAAGCCACATAAGGTGACAAAATTTCTCTGTGAGCCCTGACTGCTTTACCTCTGGCTCACAACCAGACCCAGCAGYAAGCAGCGACTGTGAAGGACAGACATTTTCACAGGAGAAATGCTCGTATCGGGGAAGTAGAGACCTGCCATTCAGAGCTTAGAATATTCTCATCTCAAAAACTTCAACCCATGTCCTTCTGGGCAGCTGAGAGACGGCTGTGAGTAMTTCTGGACAGAAACAGCAAATGACTCATTCAGAGAAGGAATTCTCCCTCCTCATTCAGCTACACAATAGTGCAACCAGGTGTTAATAGGCAGAACCTGGACGTGCCGCCTCGCACTGACTAGCTGGTCTCGCTGGATGCTGATCTGCACAAGAGTTGTTCAATTTTTCCTTTCTTGAGCAAACCCTCTTCTGAGTGGGTTCTCCACAGTCCAATGATAAGGTAATGGACAAAAGTCAACTGAATGAAAATTGACTGCAATTAAAACAGAAGCAATTTTGAAGGGTATCTGAAATACTTTGAGGGTTGCACCATTTGTCCTGCTGTCATGTTTTAAAGTGCCACAATGACAAGCAGTTGATTCAGTTTCTAATTTGAGAGTTCTTCTAGATTGCCTGCTGATAATGAACTCCATTACAGCAGTAAGTAATCCCTTGTGACAGCTCTGGTTGGCTACAAAGACCTGTGCTACCCTGGTGATCAGGCTTCAGCCATCCCTTCTGTCATCTCTTGTGTAGACTGCAAGCAGCAGGGCATACGAAGCTATCAACCCTTTAGAAAGTCCAAAACACTTTGCAATACTTCAATTATCTGCATCACATCACCTCAGCAGCACAGTTTTCTGTAAGCAATTGAAAGCAGTCCTTGGCTCTTGGCAATGGCCTCCCTAGCAATATCAAGTCAATTCATTTGATTCCCAGATTTTATTTCTACCAGATAAATAAAAAATCTTCCACACCTCTATGATGAGTTTGGCTGACAATGATGGCTGACAGCTTTGCTCTTCAGGTAGAACTGAACTTTCTAKAATAAGGTGCAAGTATTTGCATAAGAAACAGAGCTTTCTTACAGGATGATCTCCGTTTGTGGAATCAATTACCATGCAAACTAAAGATCACCCAAACTGTGTGCTTTTGAGACTGTGCTGTCCCCAATATAAACACAGTCAATGTGAAGGAGCGTTGATAAAAGCAGCAGTAGGGAAAGGGGGGCAGAGTTGGTCTGCACTAGAACCTGTTGATGTTAGTGAAGAGGCTACTCAGCAAGGAAGCAAGGCGAGTGGCTTCCAGACCCTAAATCCTGTAACAAACTGTGTTCTCCCAGTTGCAGCTGTAGCATCCAGCTGTAGGACTTCCCTTTTATGACCTTCCTGGTTCCTGCCTGACAAAGCATGTTAAAGCATTGCCTACTGGCGCAAATGAGGCTGGATCTGCATGTTCGCTGTGGGCATTCCTGGATACTGCACTCCAAAAATTTGCCATAGAACTTGAAAAGTTGTAAGAAAAAGTCACAAGTACGACCAGCATGATGAATTGGCTTCCATACTAGGTAAGACTGCAAAGGGTAGGACATTGCCTCTTAGAAAAAGGCAGAAAGTATAGAAGTGATAGAGGTCTATAGGTCTATAGTGAGTAGCATTGACGTGAATAGGGAGCAGTTATTTACTGTCTCTAAGAAGCAGTCAGTATAAATAAAATATATAAAAAAWTATATCACACATTTAAACCATGTATGGTTTACATTGTCTAAGTAYGTAACAGAGGTCAAAAGTATATATAAGTAGCATAAAAGGGAGATCGTGCAAACTCATAGGTCAGGTCCATTTGAAGCTATTAAAATGAAGATTCAGAAGCATCTTTTTTGCTCTGGATTTTTCTAAACCTTTGTTTTTTTCATAAGCTGGCAAGATATGCCAGGGTAGAGACTATTCAGTGAATGTCCTGTTTCTTTCACTAAATATCCCTAACCAATCACTTCCAAAACAGGAGAGCAGACAAGATGGACCTACTATCACGATCATCCTGCTGTTCAAACTAGTGTTGTGGAACATGGTACCCCGCCAGTATTGGAGCAAAATAGAGGCAGAAAGGCCTTGAACCAAATGCTGGGAAGCGGGGCTTGCCTGGGATCACCCGCTTTGCTCTTGGACTGAAGGTGCGCAGCTGGATCCGAGGAAAGCAGCAGCTGATGTGATGGTGATAGAGGTTGGAAAGGCAAAAGTCTTCTTGTTAGTGTTTGGCAGGAGAAGCAGTTTTCACAGCACCACAGAAGAGTTAAGGTCATCACAGAATTGCTGAGGTTGCAAGGGACTTCTGGAGATGACCTGGCCCAATTTCCCTGCCCAAGCAAGGCCACCTTTAACAGGTTGCCTGAACCACACCTGGTTGGGTTCTCAGCATCTCCAAGGTGTTCAACCACCCTCAGAGTGAAGAGTTTTCTCTGTTTTCTGCAGACAGGATTTCCTCTGTTTCAGTGTGTGCCCATTGCCTCTCTTCCTGTCCCCCCGAGAAGAGTCTGGCTCCTTTCACCCTCCCACAGCATATTTACACACACTGGTAAGATTTCCCGTCACCCTCCTCTCCTCCTGCTAAACAACTAAACAGTTTTGTGTTTGCCAAACGGTTTGGGGGCCAGGGAGGTGGAAACTGGGCTCCTGAGGTAGGTTGAGATGTTAAGTCAGGTCCCTATAGTTTGACCACGCAGCCATAGATGCCTTTAGGTAAACCGCAACTGTAAAAGCTCGCTTGAAGCAAGGCCTGAGAACCAGGGTACTGCCAGTCATTGCTATCCCTGTAAAATATGCGTAGTCCGTGTACTCAACGTGCACCTGAAGATGATGCGTGTGTAGAACAGTGCACAAGGACAAAGGGATATACTGGATATGTAAGATCGGTCTGGAGAAT